CGCCGCCCGTCCGGGACAGTCTCATAGCCTTTCATTTAACATCCATTGCCTACCCCTCACAATAATGGCCTCTTCAAACTCTTCTGAGATTATGAGTACCATCTGGGATTACATATTCGTTGGAGGGGGCCTTGCTGCATCGGTAGTGTCCAGCCGACTGTCTCAGTTAGACGCCAGCCTTAAGATCCTTGTAATCGAAGCAGGACCAAATGCTAATAACGAATCTAACATCATTTGGCCAAATTCAACTAATCTCATTGGCGGCGACTTCGACTGGAAAGACAGTACAGTTAGTCAGCGTCACCTCGACGGTCGCAATGTTGGCCTAGCAACTGGAAAGGCACTCGGTGGGGGTACTGTCATTAACGGTGGTATGAGGCCATCCATCATCTGTTAACCAATTGTCAAAATACTTACCTACCGAGCCAGGTGGATGGGTCCGAGGCCACAAGTTCGATTACGACCTCTGGGGCTCCCTCGTACACGATAAGCGTTGGGCCTATGAAGGTCAGCTACCTTTCATGCAAAAATCGGAGAGACACTGGAGCGAAACCTCGAATCCCGAACAGCATGGTCTTACGGGCCCTGTTCACATACAGTCGGTCACTTCGACGAAACGGGGGTTCCCGCTACGCAAGCACACATTAGAAGCATGGAAAGAGCTTGGGTTTAACGAGCTACCATATCTAGATGGCAATGCAGGCAATCCTTTAGGCATTGCAGAGCTACAAGAGGGCCGGAATAGCGGTCGCCGTATTATCTCCGCCGCTGCTTACTCGCTTGACAGCGTGACCGTACTAGCCAATACACTCGTGGAGAAGGTATTGATTAAGAATCATGCCGCAGACAACGGTGGACTGAAGGCCGTAGGTGTCCGGCTGGCTGACGGCACCGAGGTGAACGGGCAGAATATAATCCTAGCTGCTGGGGCTCTCCGTTCACCCCAGATCCTAATGCTATCGGGTATTGGACCCTCTACGGACTTGGTCAAATTCGATATTCCCGTTCTTCTAGATCAGCCCGACGTTGGCCAAAACTTGGCTGACCATAGCATCCTCTTCAACGCATGGAAAGTCAAAGATCCAGGGGCCGGATGGGCTCTCGGATCCCCAAACCCATTATTCAGTCAGCCGCAGTACAGCTGGGGATACCCATTTGACTTTCTTATAAATGGAGATGTGCCAAAGAAAGGTCTCGCTGAAGCCGTTGCGGAGGATGAAGGCATCGTGCCAGATCCAGACACCCATCCTCTTTTAGCACACCCGCGAACCTTTGTTGAATATATTTTCATGTCGGTCGGTGCGCCCGACGGGTCGCTCGTCACTTTTGGCACCGCACCGATGCTCAATACGGCCCGCGGCTCGATTAAGCTCGCATCAGCCAACTGCAGTGAACCCCCCCTTATTGACCCCAACTACCTAGGAACAGCGGTGGACAGATACGTAGTGCGCGAGGCCGTGAAGACGCAAATCAAGTTCGCCGGAAGCGATACGACCGTCATCGGTCGTGAAATTCTCAGCGGAGAAGCTGGAGCACCGGGTTTCGACGAGGTTTTATCCGTGAATTCTACTGACGACTACATTGACGCACGCATTCGTGCCGGATTGGGGTAGGTCTACGCAAAGCAAAAATAAAGTCTCGCTGTGTATCTCTGCTAATAAATATGGCGAACGGGTAGGACGTGCCAGCATCCCATGGGTAGCCTCTCAATGGGAAAAGTCGTAGACGTCGACTTGAGAGTCAAAGGCGTTGACAATTTACGAGTAGTGGACGCCTCGGTCATCCCCGTTGTCATCACAGGTCATATTCAAGCTGCTGTCTACGCTCTGGCTGAGCAAGCTGCCGAGATTATTTACGCGGATCAGCATGGCTCTACGAAATAAGGCCGCCTCGCATTACCCTGAAAGATAGCCACAATGTAGAAAGGAAGGCAAATTGAGAGTTTTGATCACCTAAATTCAGACATCGTAGGACCTGGAGTCCGCGGATCCTTTAGAGTAATCCTGAAACCGTGACGATGTATATCTATAATTCCTTACTAACATGATAAGCTACATTGTCACTGTCGCCTATATCGCCCCCGATCGATTTACAGAGTCGACAAATCCACTATGATCTTGACGTGCTTATCTTTCTCATTCATGAGAGCGTCGAATCCGTCCTCGACCACGCGTTCAATAGCAATCTTGCTTGTGATCATGGATTCCGGTCTCAGGCGTCCTTCGCAGAGGGCATCAATAACGTCCTCGAAATCAGCCGCTACGTATGTTAAACCTGGACCCAAGGAGTGAGTAAGTCTAGATGGCACTCATTCGGATAGAGAGAATACCGTACTTCCAACAAGCCTCCTCTCGTAGAGGACAATATTGTTTGGGTGAAAGGGGACAGGCGTTTCCCACTATGACGATCTGAGTCAGCAGTCACCCCCGGAAGGGAAGTCACGGGGATATTCAGGGAGTCAGAGGCTGTGAACTAGACTAGCTGGAATAAGTGAAATCTCCCCTGACAGCAGCGGAAGCGACGAAGCGAGTCTCGACCCTTGACCTACAATCGCAACATTCACGATGGTCCCACGGGCACAGACGGCACGAGTTGCGGAATCCAGGCTTGATGGTACACCGGCGCAGTCGAACGCCACAGCAGGACCTCGGCCGCCTGTCAGTTTCTGGGCTTCCTTGACCACATCGACATGGCTCGGGTCAAGTATATGCGCTGCGCCAAACTGCTTGGCAAATTCCTGGCGTCTGGTAGCCAGTTCGACGGCGATGATTTCGCCAGCGCCAATAGCCTTGAGACATTGGATTATAGCGAGGCCAATGGGCCCCGCGCCGAAGACCAGAGAAGTCTGGCCTGCCGTGATACCGGATTCGCGGACGGCATGCCAGGCGACCGCCAAAGGCTCTACGAGAGCTGCCAGCAAATTAGCATGTCCCAACTCAATCAGAAGCGGTACGCGGGCTGACCGCCGACTTCCAGCGAGATGGTATCCGCGAGCTTGAAGACTGCGTCGGGTGGCAGGCACATGTAATCGCTGAGCCCGCCTCCACCTCCGGACAACCCCCTGAATCCCCCCCTCTCGCAACAGTTCGGGAGGCCGCCCCGGCACGGCCCGCAGGCTCGACAATACAAGAGCGGGAACACGGCGACCCGATCCCCGACTTCCAGGCTAGCAGAGTTGACAACGTCCGCGCCGATCTCGACGATGGTCCCCGACAGCTCGTGGCCGAGGGTGACCGGCGCCGTCTCATTGGATAGCCTGTGAGGCGCGCCGGGTTTGGGCACGAATGTCTGCGTTCGGTATTCGTGGAGGTCCGTGCCGCAGATGCCGACGAACGCGGGCCGGATCTTGACCTGGGCCGAGCCGCATTTGGGCTCGGGCAAGTCGTCCAAGCGCAAGTCCTGGGGGCCGTAATACCGAAGAGCACGCATCGCTCTCAGTGGCGTTGGTAAAAAATCGGAACGGAACAGCGTAGAATCGAAGATCAGGGCTTGCCACCTTCCAGCTCGCGGGTCGAAGCAACGGAAGCGAATGATTTATCTCGAGCCGCGGAACGGGTTTCTCCAACTTTTGTGATGGACTTCCCCTTTGGGATTGCCTCCAACTGATGTCACGGCATTGGTCGATACCCCTCATGTTGGGTAACTTGCGTTGCTGGGAGATGACCTTGCATGACATAGCCACCTACGTAATTTCATAGTACGGCATACTTAATTCAATAGCTTGCGCAAAAAGCGGCTCAAAATGGGGATAATACTTTATATGAGTGAGGCGCAGTAGGCACGATGGGCTAGAAATTAAACAACGCCGTCTTTCAATATAAGTTAACCTAGGTGATAGCTAATGTTCAAGCCACGTAGCTACCCCGGCTTCTTAGGCAAGCACCCATGTAATTACTTGGGTTATTTAATTCAAGTGCTTTCTATGTTTCACTATATATATCTCAGCACTTGGATCTATAATTAGACTGTTGGGAATGTTTTGTTCTTATATAGGTTGGCAGTACGAAGCATGTTAAGGCTAATGAAGTGTAGGAGATAGCTGCTTGTACGCTTCTTACTGAGATCCATTTTCTTCCGTATAGAGGGATGTACGTTTATGTGTGTGCCGAATGTTGAGGGGATCCAAGCGCGTCTTTTGATTCTGCGTTAACGTGCTGTCGACTCTTGTTGCCCCTTTAGTTTTTCTAGTATGGGATCTCAATGAAGCACGTGAGAGACAAGCTCGGCTCCGGCAACCTATTTACGCTGACTTGTTGTTTTTCCTCCTATCGGTATAACATAGTATTATGAGTATTTTGGCATGTTTATTTCCCCGTAGAGGAATCCCCGAGCCCATTATGTTCGGCGAAGTTCATTCTAGGTGCTAACTAAGCTTGCTCATATTGAAGTAGGGTGATGAGCAAGCCACCTAGTGGCTGGACTAGTAGCCTGATTTGAGCCACCCTAGGGGGTATGCCTTGATTTTTCGTTGCTTTTTCTATATATTTAGCTATTCCCTTCGCCTCTGTATTATTAGCTTCTTTTTAGTCACGGTGGCTTTTGGCCACTACTCGCGAATAGATTACTTCCCTTGCGAATACCTTCAAAAGTGATCTATTTTGACAATTCTATCAAATCTCTGTGAAGTGCCTGATGAGGTCTCCAGAGTGCGGTTATGCGTATGGCATGCTCCGTTTTAATATCCAAGTCTTGAAACAACTTGATAGCCGTGCCAGGCATCAAGCTCTCGACGTACTGGCAAGATATATATATTTTCATACCTCGTAGCCTTTTTCTTAGCCGTAACATAATACCCATCCACCAACGGCCAGACCCAAGAACGGCCAGACCCAAGGCACCATGCCGCGCCCTCACGGTCCCAAGCCACCTGTACAACCACGACAGTCAAGAATGTCACGGAAGATCGTGACACGGCATCCACGTACCTGTCACACATAATCTCCCCGTTCCGATGTCCTCTTAGAGCGCAATAACACCAAGTCTAGCATCGTCGCAAGACAGGGCCGGTAGCTCAGGGGTAGAGCGCTCGCTTTGCATCATGCAATGCCTTCGTACCGCCTCAGCTTGAGAGTTTCCCGGGGGCGGCACACCGTACAGCGAAGATTTCCAGCGAAGATTTCCAGCGAAGATTTCCAAAGCGAAAAAAAAATACAAAACCCCCAAAAACAGCAAATACGAAGGCAGCGCCAGTTTAGGCGCAGCCAGCGAGGTTGCGAGAGGTCTGGGGTTCAAATCCCCACCGGTCCAAGCAATATATGCATCAATTTTTTTTCCCCCTCTTTCTTTTGGAGGTCGGTGTTACTTATAACATAGTCGGTTATATGGTGTATATGTCCCGGCAACATGATGATTCTGTCGCAGAGCTGGAGGTAATAATGCAATTCCGCGTCATAAAATGTGATGATACAGGTCTACTACTTAGAAACACGATTAGCTTAAGTAGTTTGGTCAATGTACAAAGTACAACATCCGTCTTTAACACGCCAATGTATACAATCGCTGTGTCTCTTGAATATCTAGTGTAGGTGGCAAACTGTTCTGTGGAAGAAGACCTCGTCTGATGGGTTTCTATTGATAAATTCTATACTTTGTATAATACTGTGTTTAAGCCCTGACAACCTAACCCAAATGCCAAGAACCTATAGCTTAGCGCGCCTATGGGCGTCCAACCAAATTTTGGGTTAGGTTTTATAAAAAACCTAAAGCCTATAGGTTTCCAAATATAATAAGTAAAATATTTAGAATAAAATAAATAAGATAGATATGTTATTATTATATTAATTTAAGTATTTATTAAGGAAATTAATATATAACTATATACTTTTGGTAAAAAAAAAAAGAAAAGTAAAGCAAAGCTAGATATAAGCACGGTATACTAATTTAAATACTAATTAAAAAAGAAATTTATGCAGAAGATATAGAAATTAACTAAATAACTATTAAATATAATTACTTTTTATGTAACTTTTTTAGATAGTCTTTTTTTGCTTTTGCTTTGCGGAGGCATTTAAGTTTATGCTTTTTAGCGCGCTATTCTTTATTAAAAAAAAGTTAAATAATTGTTTTATAGTTCTTATTATCTACGATATTATTTTGGGCTATAATATTGTAAAATATAAGCTAGGTAGTATTAATATACGATATAATATAGAAAATAAATAGAACAAGTTATATATTTTTAGTTATAAAAGTGATATATTTAGCATAAATAGTAGCAAAATTGGAAACTAATTAAAAGTTAGTATAAAAATTAGTATAAAGAGTAAAATATAGCTAACTAGTAAAAATAGTAGTAAAAGTATTTTCTGCTGCTTTTATTAAGGCTTTAATAGCGGATAACTAAAAGCAAAAATATTTATTAGTAATATCTGCAGTAATTTTTTAGAAAAGACAAATAAATAGTGCTTTTAAGATAGCGTACTTTAAATGAGAAGTTTGTTATATATGGAATATTTGCTAAATAGTTTTACCTATAAGTTAGTTAAAGTGTACTAATTCTTGTACTAATCTTGAACAAGAATATATATATAATTAGATTTAGCAAGAGTTTAAAGTTTCTTTTTTAAAGAAAGCTTAAGTAGGCTTAAGCGTTTATTTGTTATAAAAGCCTGCCAGAGATTTTTTGTTACATAAAGCTTATTTCTAGAATTAACGTTTTTATTGCTAGAGCTTACGTTTTTAGTAATACCGTTTAGCAAATTAAAGTAAACATGTTTACTACTACTGGAGGCTTTATCGGTAAGAAAAACATTTAGCTTCTAAAAAAACGTACAGCTTAATTAAAAAGAATTAAGATTGTATAATTTTTCTATATTATAGTTATTTAGGTCTACTATAGTTAAAGTAGCAGTTAGGTAGTAAAAGATATAGAAAGAGTTTAAAGTCTAAATAAAATTAGTATAAAAATTAGTACAGAGAGCAGTTAAACATACTAAAGGTAACAAAAAGATATAAAACAAAAGCTATAAAATTAAAGAAAAATTATTTAGTTTGATATAATATAAAAATAAAAAAGTACTAATATTGATATTAATTGTTAACGAAAAAATAAATTTACTATAAGCGGTAAAAAGTTGATAATAAAAGACCTACTTAGTATACAAAGCTAAAATTAATTAAATAAAGGATTAGTATAAAGATTATAACAGAAATTAAATAAAAAAGGACTTACTAAAAGAAAAAGGTAAAAACTAATTAAATTTAATTAAAGGAGTAACAAGCTATATAAAATGTTAATAAAACGAAATATAACTTTTAAAAGTAAAAAAATTAGATATAATTACATAAAGAAAAAATCTTTTTAAAAAAAACTTACTAAAAATAAAAGATTGCAATAGTAATAAAGATTAAGTAAAAAGTAGTTGTAAATATAAAAGTATAAAAGACCTATAAACCTTAGAATATAAGGTTACAGTAGTCCCACTTTTAGCCCCACTTTTATTTGCGAAAAAGGGTTAACTAATAAAAGCAACTAAATATAGTTAAAATTTTATATAAAATAGACTAAATATAATATATTTATAAATTTAAACTAAATAAATTATAAATAATTAAAAAAGTCTTTTATATTTAGCAAGTGAAATTATTAATTAATTATATAAATATAAAAAATTTATAATTATAAAAATTATATTAATATAAAAATTATAGTTATTAATATAAATTTTTTTTTTTAAATATAACTAAAATATAAATAATATTTAGTTATATTTAATAATTAGTAATATATATTAAAATATATAATATATTAAAAATATTATATAAATAAAGTTTATTAGTTAACTTAAAAATTATATTAATTAAAAATTAAAAATTATAAATATTAACTATTATAGAAATAAAAAACTTGCTGTTATTTTTAGTTAAATATAAAACTTTAATTTAGGTTTTTTATGTATATATAAACTAAACTAGCGCTATATTTGCTTTCTTTTTAATATTTTTTAGTAGTTAAAAATCCGATTATATAACAGTAACCCTTTTTATATATATAGTATAATAATTTGCACCTAGAAAATAAAATATGTTAATATAGTTTAATATTTAATTATTGCTGTTATATTAATATATAAATATTTTACTAATATAAGCTTTAGCAGCTTTTTATAATATAGCAATAGCATGTTTCTACATCCGATATTTCCTGCTTATTTTATATGTAAGCTTTTAAACTAGTTGCTCAAACAGCTAATATAGTATTAATAGGTTAACTTATTATTAGTAGTACTTAATTTTACATAGTATAACAGCTAAATACTTATATTAGCAATATATTAACTTTTGTATTAATTTAAAAAAAATATACTATCTAGCTACTAGTAGCGTTTTTAACTACTAAACTATAGAGTAAGCGCCTGCTTATATATTAAAATTATAGCTAGGTTTGTTGCTTAATTAGTAGCTAAGCTTATAGCTTAGCATATTGCTTAAACTATAGATTAGTATATATACTTAAGCTATAATAGCTTTACCGCTTTAGAAAAAGTTAAGGTTAGTTATAAATAAAAAAGTTGTTAGTTTATTTTAGAGTAACAAGGTAGTAATTCTAGGAATAAGCTTTAATAACGCTTAAAAAGCCTACTATTATACCTACTTAAGAATATTAAACTAACAAAGCTTTAGTGTAAGCTTTAACAAATATAAGCAGGTATTTTCTATATTTTTTAAAATAATTAATTTATATTTAAGATAATTCTAAGTATAACTAGAGTTAATAGTAATTGCAACTGCAATAATTGCGTTAAATATAATAATAAAATAATTAGAAAAAGCATAATAAAGAAGCAATAAAAAAAGAAAAAAAAAAGCAAGAGAAATTTTTTTATAACCTAAGTTTATATACTTATAGTATAAAGTAATTATAATCTACTTTAGTAAAACTATAAAAAGCTATAATATAAATTAGTATAATTTTTTTTCTAGTAGTTATTAGATATAAATTCTATTTTCTTTTACTTTTTTATACTAGTATTTTTAATATAGTTAACTAATTAAAAGCTTTTATATAATAAGACCTTGAAAAGTTATTTGATAGTAACTTTAACAATTTATTTTAACTTTTTTTTCCAACCTCTAACTAGCCTATTTTACTAAATAAATCTATACTATGTTAGTTTAACCTGCTAGATATGCCCTATTTGTTACTACTAGTATTATACTATAGTAATAGCAATATAATACTATTTGGTTTTAGTTGCAACAGCAGTTTTTTATTAATAACCCTTTTAAACTAGCTGATTTTATATCTTAAACTGTCTTTAATAATTGATTTTGTCTAAAAAGGAACCCTTACTTGTTATATATACAATAAAAGCAAGAAAAAGAGATTTTAACAATAGCTATATACAATATTATGGTTTAAAAAGTATGGAACTACAGAAAACGCAATTAAGAGAATTAAACGAATATAGGAAATATTGCAAAAATAGTTTATAAATAGTTAGAACAAATAAGACTAGGGTGTAAAAATTACTACTAAAACTCCAAAAATAATCTGTAAGCGTTATAATTAAATATTAATATACTTAGTATATCTAAAAGCTACTAGTATAAACATAATAACATATTATAGTAGAATAAACTAATGTAAAGTAATATATTTGCGGGCTTAGAATTGTAATATTACTATTAGCGAAAAGGTATGCTATTATTAATATTATATATTATTTATATACTAATTTATATACTAATTATTTCTTTTGGTAATTTAGGTTGCGTTAGCTATTACAGAGTTTAAGCGCTTATAGCTACACTTTATAATTAGATTTAATATTTTTTTTAATGTAATAGAAAGTAACTACTATATAGTCTTTTTGTAATTTTTAAATTACTAACCTTTTAAGGCATATATTATAAAACGCTTTATTATAAAGTATGTTAAGCTATTAGTTAAAGATTAGCTTTTTAACTATATGCTAGAGTTAGAAATTAGTATAATAAGTAATATATAGATATGTTCTAGCTTTTACTATTGCTACTAAGGCATTATAGTTTATTTTATTAATACTAATTAGAAATTGTAGCATGTTTTTATTAATGTATATAAAGTCAATAAGAAAAATATACGACTAAATATATATTAGATGTATACTAAGCTGAAGCAATATAGTTTTTATAATACTGTAAAAGTGTTTACCTTTAATAATAGTTTTAGGTTTGACCTAAAATATATTAAAGAAGCTTTATTAGCTAATAATCTATTTAAGTTTGGTTTTATGAACATTAGTTATTTTTTTTGCTTCTTATAT